ACACGGTGATTGACAGGTCTCTACCAGAGACGTATACGGCGTCTCTAAGTCACTCCTCAGTCCAATTATGGTCGCTTCCATTCACTGGTTGCAAAAAGCCAAGATGGTGACGGCCAAAATGCCAAACTCGAGCCTTCAAACCTGCAGTCCACGAACCAATGGGTGATGTCATGCAGACTACGTCCACTTCTTATATACAGTATGTGGTTCAAACACGAGACTCTCCACAACGAACAGCAGAGCGCAAAAACGCTTCACTCTCATTGAAAACGAATACAGAAACAACCAGCGTGCGCAGTCTGATCAGGGCCTAATGAAGGCCCACCGTGATGTGCAGCAGCTTCTTTTTGCAGGAGCGTGGATATGCTAAGTGCTCAGGCTGCTGGAGACTACAAAAAGACCCCGGCCCGTGACGCAAATCCATTATGTCTGACCTATTTGTTTTGGAGAGAGAGCCCCTAAGAGCAGGATGCACCGCGTAACCTGTTGAGTTAGTAACAGCCGTCGGCAACACTGTGATTCTGTCAGCATCATTTTTTTTCAACTCTTTTGAACTTGTGCATACAGTGCACTTACTCTCAGCTCCATGGTTTGCCACCACAATCACGAGCTCATTTCGCGCTCGTAGCAGACCTAATGCTGGTGCCATCTCCTCCTCCTAGCATGTGTCCCACTTGGTTAATATAGCAAGCCCTCCGGGAACGGGCCCCCGAATACCACCACGGGTCGTAACAAACGACCCCCTCAGGCAGCAGCAGCATCCTGTCATCACTGGCGCCTTTCACTACCAATCTGCCGTCTTTGCTTTTTTTTTTTTTTGCTTACCAGCCCCTCTATATCTCCGGTCCTCTGTCTACAGATCCAGCAACATGAGAAGAAGAAGCTTTTCTGGTACTGTTCACTGCTCTTCCTTTCTTTCTCCTCTCATCTGCCCATCTCTCCCCTGTGCTCTGACACACATTGAAGAAGAAATAGCATGCTGGTTATGAAGTAACATGCTAGCAGCAAGAGAGAGACACATAGGTGGATATATTAGCATCTGCGGCGTACGGAATATCGTAATTTGGTGTTCTCTCTGTACTGTATGACGTCGCCTCGTTTCTCCTCGCCGGCTGCAGTGGTGTGTTTTAAGCCCCAAAGGGCAGCACATGCTTTTAATAGATGTCTCCCTTCGCCGTGGAGAGAGTGACACAAGAGTGACTGTGTCTCGGCTTTAATTGTGGTTTCAGGGGCCTCTTTTCTCTCTGCGACGTCGCTGTGTCAAAGCCGAGCCTCCAGGGAGCTCGTACCCTGAGCGAAGGTCTCTCCGTCATTTCCCGCTCGTATATTTATTTCCCCCTTCTGTCTCTCGGCGCTCTTTTTAACCACGGCTCCCTTCATCTTTTCTCAGCACTCCCACCCCCCATGGTGTGCTCGTGCTCTGTTCTCCGTTTTTTTTTTTATCTGTTTCATCTTTGCTGCTCGTACAACATATGTATTTCTCTGCTGTCTATCAATCTCAAGTGTTTCTGAAATGTCTTCATGCCTCCGTAGGCCGCATCTTTCCTCGCGGTTTCGGGATGAGCTCAATCTAGTGGATTCTGATCTAAAATCTAGTCGGCAATCAACACCGGTAATTAAATCAACTAACCATTTTGTTATTTGATTCATAATTTGAGTCATTTATCGAGCAAAGATCCCAAACATTTGCTGGTTTCAACGTCTGAAATGGTTTTCTGTCGTTGTAAATTGAATATTTTTGTGGTTTGAACCTTAAAGACGTCACCTTGGGGCTCTGGGAAATAGTATCGGACGTTTTAATAACTGAATGATTAATCGGTTAATCAAAGAAGTGATTAACAGATGCGTTTACAATCATTCAAACCCTTAATTAGAGCCCTACTCGGCACATAATGCAAAGCACTAGCTTGCTGGCTTTTTGCTTAGTGTTGATGTGCATATATGCAAAGTCTGTGTGCACACGCTCGGTCGCTCCAGCAAACGTCCTCGTATGTGGAAGGGAAACATCGGCGTGCATACAGGAGCACGGCTGTAGATTCTAGTGCTTGCACGGAATTCCTTCCTGTGTCTCGGGTGTTAATTTTCATTTCTGACCTTTCACCTGCCCTGAAGGGTGGAAGTCTTTTCCTGAAATTTGAATGCATAATAGGACAAAGTAAACCGGAGCATAGCCTTATTACTGCAGCATACATGCTGTATAGGCTATCCACTATACCTGGCCTCTTTATTTAACCTGTATTTATCCATCGTAATCCATGGAGGTTTTACATCTGTTTTGCAAGTGGGTGCTGGTCAAGATGGCGACGTACATAAAAACCACAGAAAACAGACTTAAAAATATAACAGAGGAAAAGTTAAGAACAACATAGAAACATAAAGATCTCGCACAGGTTCTAAGAAAAAACGCAAATTGCATAAATCAAAGAATTGTCCTCCCATGTTGGGACAAGTACGTTGAAAGATCCTTAATGCTGTTTTTACAATGTTGGATGCTTTTGAAATGATCTAGTTTATAATGTCTCTATAGCTCACACCAAGATCACGGTCCAGAAACTTAAAATAGCGCGTTCACCAAAAAACGCTGTGGATTCTGGGGATGATGAACATCATTCGTCTGCTACTGCAGCTACTGAGAACATGGATAAGGGGGCAGTTTGTGTAACGGGCCTTATACATAACTGCTGTTCATAAGGAGGACAAACCAGCTCATACAGACTGCGGTGATGTGTGAAAGACCTGAATCGGAGACAAATCGTTTACTTGACACTGAACTGAACAGTTTTAAAGAAGATGAATTTGCATGCTTCTTTAAAATATCACCATAATCAAGTGCTGATAAAAGTGTGACTAGTGAGAGTAGTGTTGGTTGGTTGGTGTCAACAAATGTGTCATTAAAGGCAAAGTTATTGTCTTGACGGCTGAAAGTGGGGTATATCGTCTTTAATTAAAAACGTGCTGGGGTGTTGTCTCATTAATTTAACAATCACATCGTGCTGCTGTGAGTGGTAGCCCTGAATAATTGGTCAGATGAGAGAACATTATAAATGCAGAAGATTACGAAGCTCGTCATGTGATTGATAACAGTCACATGGTGTAGTCAAATATTGGGCATTCAATGTGAAAGAATGGAGGATTAAAACTCTCTGAAAGTAAATCCTGCTCATGTGTGGCTCACCTCTCAGCAGATATTCGTCACTAACTTGCAGCGAAACATATCTCTGAAGTATTTACAGAAATATATGGATATTTTTAGGACATAATTTAACAATCGGCGCCACAATATGAGATTAGCACCGTATGTCTACTAACTAAAACGACGATGGTATGGGCCAAGTTAGCTGTTAGCGAGCTAATGTTAGCTGTGTGTTAGCAAGCTACTGTAGTTAGCTAGGGCGTTTACGAACGTAATACTTAAAGCTTTCTTATTTATGCGCATTCCACTATAACACAAGTTGCATACTGTCAAAATGCTTTAGCTTAACTTACAGGAATACAGTGAGTCTAAAACTGACATTTGGACTAAATGTTTTCTGCACACGTAACGTTGGACACACGGAGTGTCCATTCTAACTGCTGATGCCTCGCGCTTTGTTGCCTGCATCCTGTTTTTCGGTTCGGCAGCTTCTAAAAACATAGCGGCGGGTTCTTTACCCTGATGGTGGTTCATCCCACCACACAGCAGCTTTTAGGGCATATTTTCTAGCAGACGAAAGCGATAAAGAGGCGCCTTCACGCAATACAGAGTCAATGGAGAGCGCCTGAGGGTGGTACTTCATTGCGCTCTGTGTCTCTATGTCAATCAGCTTGTGGTGGAGAGTCGGGCTCCACCAGCTGTCAGAACCGGCCCCCAAAACACAATGAGGGAGACTGTTGACTGGATGCAGTAAATATGGACTTTTCCTCTTCCATGTTTCTGACGGACATCGATGCAGCGTCATCATGGCCTGCAAATAGATCTTCTCTGTGAACATCCACGAATGCATGCCGTATACTGACTTTTGCATTACTGCCGTGGATTATGCACACACACACACACACACACACACACACACACATTATGGCTTGTAGAAGAACACATGGGCGCATCGTGCACATTGACAGCTGGAGCGTAAAGCATGGGCACATGATGCCTACACCTGATCTTGGAGGCTGGCCCATTTAGCTGAGAAGCAACAATGATTTCATTATATCGCTGAAATAATCAGAGAGCTATGGTCACTGGGATACACACGT